TCTTCAAGGTGGAGGACATCTCCATGGGGTTGGGGGTCCAAGAAGTTGGGGGTCCAAGAAGTTGGGGGTCTTCAAGGTGGAGAACATCTCCATGGGGTTGGGGGTCTTCAAGGTGGAGGACATCTCCATGGGGTTGGGGGTCCAAGAAGTTGGGGGGCTCCAGGGTGGAGAACATCTCCATGGGGTTGGGGGTCTTCGAGGTGGAGAACATCTCCATGGGGTTGGGGGTCCAAGAAGTTGTGGGTTCCAACGTGGAGAACATCTCCATGGGGTTCCTCAGAAGTTCCAAGAGGGGGTTCCTCAGAAGTTCTTGAGATCTTCAAGGTCAAGGACACCTCGGGGTCAAGGTCCCCTCCCAAGAGTGGGTCCCTCAGAAATTCTTGAGATCTTCAGGGTTGGAGCCACCACCTGAGTGGGGCTTCCTCAGAAGTTCTTGAGATCTTCAAGGTTGGGGTCACCACCCAAGAGCGAGGTCCCCAAAGTCCTTGAGATCTTCAGGGTTGGGGCCACCACCCAAGAGGGGGTTCCTCAGAAGATCTTGAGATCTTCAAGGTCGAGGACACCTTGGGGTCGAGGTCCCCTCCCAAGAGCTGGTTCCTCAGAAGTTCTTGAGAACCTCCCCCTTGAAGCCACCTCCCCGTAACCACGTTCCTCGCTTCCTGGAGGTCCACTTCCCTTCTGGGTGTCCCCAAGTTGTCCTCGAGGTCTTGACCCCACCCCCCTTTTTTGTTGTCTTCTTCTCTAGGGTGAATCCAAACGCATCACCTTGGTCCTTCAACAACCACCCGGTGGCTCCGCCCCGCCCGGTCAACGTCACGTTGTCCTCGGCAGTTTGCCCGGCAAAATTGTCCTCCAGGGCAACCAACTGGCCACCCTCGGTCAAGCCAAGGGGACACCCGGCCAACCGGCCAAGGTGGTCACCATCCAACTTCAAGTTCAACAACCTCCAAGCGGTCAAGCGGGAGGTCCTCAGAAGATCCAACTTCTCCAACAAGCCACCGCCGGTGGAGGTGGTGGAGGCCAAGGGGGGACGCCGGTGGCCGTGTCCTCGGTGCCGCAGGTGGTGGGCGGCGGCGGTGGCCAGAGGGTGACGGTGCCCTTGAAGGTGGTCCTTCAACCTCAGGTGAGATGGGGTGGGCCTTGGAGAAGTTGAGGACCTTCTGGGGTGGGGGGTGGTCTTGGTGGCACCCAACGGTGGTCTTGGTCCTTCACCTAACTGTGGTCTTGGTGGCACCTGAGCTTGGTCTTGGTGGCACCCAACCGTGGTCTTGGTGGCACCCAACCATGGTGGAGAAGTTGAGGACCTTCTGGGGTGGGGGGTGGTCTTGGTGGCACCTGAGCTTGGTCTTGCTGGCACCCAACCGTGGTCTTGGTGGCACCCAACCGTGGTCTTGGTGGCACCCAACCATGGTGGAGAAGTTGAGGACCTTCTGGGGTGGTGGGTGGCCTTGGTGGGGTGGTCTTGGTCCTTCACCCAACCGTGGTCTTGGTGACACCCAAGCTTGGTCTTGGTGACACCCAACCTTGGTCTTGGTGGCACCTAACCATGGTTTCTGGTAGCACCCAAGTGTGGTTCTTGGTGTCATCTGACCTTGGTGGAGAAGCTTGAGGACCTTCTGGGGTGGTGGGTGGCCTTGGTGGCACCCAACTTTGGTCTTGGTCCTTCACCCAACCTTGGTCTTGGTGGCACCCAACCGTGGTGGAGAAACTTGAGGACCTTCTGGGGTGGGGGGTGGTCTTGGTGGGGTGGTCTTGGTCCTCCACCCAACCTTGGTCCTTGGTGGCACCCAACCATGGTTCCTGGTAGCACCCAAGTGTGGTTCTTGGTGGCACCTGACCTTGGTGGAGAAGTTGAGGACCTTCTGGGGTGGTGGGTGGTCTTGGTGGCACCCAACCCTTGGTCCTTCACCCAACCTTGGTCTTGGTGGCACCCGACCATGGTGGAGAAGCTTGAGGACCTTCTGGGATGGTGGGTGGCCTTGGTGGGATGGTCTTGGTCCTCCACCCAAGCTTGGTCCTTGGTGGCACCCAACCATGGTCCTACACCCAACCTTGGTCTCCATTGACCCCACTCTTGGTCTCCACCCAACTCTTGGTTCTTGGTAGCACCCAACCCTTGGTCCCCATTGACCCAACCCTTGGTCTCCACCCAACTCTTGGTCCATGGTGTCACCCAACCATGGTCCTTCACCCACCCTTGGTCTCCATTGACCCCACCCTTGGTCTCCACCCAACTCTTTGTCCTTGGTGCCACCCAACCATGGTCCTACACCCAACCTTGGTCTCCCTTGACCCCACCCTTGGTCTTCACCCAACTCTTGGTCCTTGGTGGCACCCAACCCTTGGTCCTTCTCCAAACCTTGGTCCTTGGTGGCACCCAACCATGGTCCTACACCCCACCTTGGTCCTTGGTGGCACCCAACCCTTGGTCTCCATTGACCCCACCCTTGGTCTCCACCCACCCTTGGTCCTTGGTGGCACCCAACCCTGGGTTCTTCACCCAACCTTGGTCCTTTGTGGCACCCAACCATGGTCCTCCACCCAACCTTGGTCCTTGGTGGCACCCAACCATGGTCCTCCACCCAACTCTTGGTCCTTGGTGGCACCCAGCCCTTGGTCCTACACCCAACCTTGGTCTCCATTGACCCCACCCTTGGTCCTTCACCCAACTCTTGGTCCTTGGTGGTACCCAACCATGGTCCTACACCCACCCTTGGTCCCCATTGACCCAACCCTTGGTCTCCACCCAACTCTTGGTCCATGGTGGCACCCAACCTTGATCTCCACCACCCTCCGTTTGATGCCACCTCATTGTCCTCTTTTCTAGGCCGGCTCATCTCAGGGGGGTTCCCCGGGTCTCTCGGTGGTGAAAGTCCTGAGCACCAGCGAGGTGGCCACCTTGGCCACCCCATCTTCTCGAGGGACCTCGGAGGAGACCCGTAAGTTGGACCACCAGAAGAAGCAGGAGAAGGCCAACCGCATCGTGGCCGAAGCCATCGCTCGGGCCCGAGCCCGGGGGGAGCAGAACATCCCTCGGGTCCTCAACGAAGACGAGTTGCCCAACGTCCGGCCAGAAGAAGAAGGGGACAGGAAACGGCGCCGAAAGGGGACAAGTGACCGAGGGGGACCCAAAGAGGAGAGACCTCGGAAGGGCAAAGGTCAAGGAGGAAGCGGGAAGAGCAAAGGGAGGAGCAAACCCAGGTGAGATGCCTTCAAGTTCTCCAAAAAAACCCAAGGTTTGGCAGCGAAATCGGGTCTTCGGGGTGGTCCTTGGTGTCCCCTACCCTTGGTGTCCCTCAACCCTTGATGTCCCTCAACCCTTGGTCTTTGATGTTCCTCAACCCTTGTCTTCAGTGTCCCTCAACCCTTGATGTCCCTCAACTCTTGATCTTTGGTGTTCCTCAACCCTTGGTCCTCATTGTCCCAACCCTTGGTGTCCCCAACCCTTGGTCCTTATTATCCCAACCCTTGGTGTGTCCCAACCCTTGATGTCCCCCTCCCCTTGGTCCTCATTGTCACCCAACCATGGTCCTTGTCCCAACCCTTGATGTCCCCCAACCCTTGGTGTCCCTCAACCCTTGATCTTTGGTGTTCCTCACCCTTGATCTTCGTTGTCCCCAACCCTTGGTCTTCATTGTCACCCAACCATGGTCCTTGTCCCAGCCCTTGGTGTCCCCAACCCTTGGTCTTTGTTGTCCCCAACCCTTGGTCCTCATTGTCCCAACCCTTGATGTCCCCCAACCCTTGGTCTTTGATGTCCCCCAAGCCTTGGTCTTTGATGTCTCCCAACCCTTGATCTTTGGTGTCCCCCAACCCTTGGTCTTTGGTGTTCCTCAACCCTTGGTCCTCATTGTCCCCAACCCTTGGTCTTCGTTGTCACCCAACCATGGTCCTTGTCCCAACCCTTGGTGTCCCCCAACCCTTGATGTCCCTCAACCCTCAATCTTTGGTGTTCCTCAACCCTTGGTCTTTGATCTCCCCCAACCCTTGGTCTTCATTGTCCCAACCCTTGGTGT